GGGAGCCAGTGTCCTGCATCTCCTTCGTGTCCTGCATGGTCCTTGCAATTCCTTTGGGCCTGTGCAGCAGCCTCTGAATAACTTCAATCTATGTGGTTTGTCTGTGCATAGTGTCATGGCAGAACATTGAGACCAGGACTGTGCTTAGAAATATCCTTGTTTTTTTACATTCCTTCTGAAATGCTGATACCTGTAGTGCTTGTATTGTCATTATGGAAGACAGATTTGCCAAACTTAGAGAGCCTGGGTCCCTCTAGTGTCTTCCAGAAGTTCTGCACTTTAGTTTTTTAATATTTTTTTTTAAATTAGAAACAATCTTATTGTTTTTTTTTTTTTTTTTTTTGGTTTTTCGAGACAGGGTTTCTCTGTGTAGCTTTGGAGCCTATCCTGGCACTCGTTCTGGAGACGAGGGTGGCTTTGAACTTACAGAGACCCGCCTGCCTCTGTCTCCCGAGTGCGGGGATTAAAGGCATCCGCCTGCCTCTGCCTCCCGAGTGCTGGGGTTAAAGGCGTGCGAAACAATTTTATTTTACATATCAATCCCAGTTCTCTCTCACTCCTATCCTCCCATGCCCTTCCACCGAAAACCCGTCCGAACCCCCCATCCACTGCCCAAGGAGAGTGAGACCTTCCATGGGGGATCATCAAAGTCTGTCACATTTGTGGCAGGGACTAGGCCCTCCCCCATGTAGGGGGAGACAAGTCCCTCATTTAGGCTGAGAGTATCCCTCCATGGGGGAATGGGCTCCCAAAGCCTATTCATGCACTATGGATAAATACTGGTTCCACCACAACAGGCCCCATAGACTGCCCAGGCCTCCTAACTGTCACTCATATTCAGGGGGTCTGTTTTGATCCTATTCTGGTTCTCCAGCTGTCTGGCTGGGGTCCATGAGCTCCCACTTGTTCAGGTCAGCTGTTTATGTGGCTTTCCCCAGCATGGTCTTGACCTCTTTGCTCATCACTCCTCCCTCTCTGTAACTGGATTCCAGGAGTTCCGCTCAGTGCTTGGCTGTGGATCTCTGCTGCTTCCATCAGCTACTGGATGAAAGCGCTAGGATGACATTTAAGTTAGTCATCAATTGCATTATACGAGAAGGGCATTTAGGATAGCCTCTCCACTATTGCTTAGATTCTTAGTTGGGGTCATCCTTATGAGAAGGGCAT